TAATTAGGAGCAACTTTTATTATTTTTTGGAAATGTGATCTCTAGAGCAGTGGTTCTCAAAGTTTGCTTGCCAGCCAGCAGCATAAGCATCACCTGGGAACTTGTAAGAAATATGCAAATTCTCAGGCCCCACTCCAGACCTTGAATCAGAGACTCTGCAGGTGGGGCCAAAACCACTGCTTTAACAAGTCCTGGTGATAGCGCTGCATTGCCCTTGGGTATTTACGTAATCAAATTATTTCTTTATTATCAATGATTTCAAACTGTTTTTTTTTTCTTTTTCAAGTTACAATTAACTTTCTGAAGTTTGGAAAACAAAAAATTATAAAAAGCTGAGAGAAGACATGAATGGTTTAAATACAACTTCTTAAAGAGAATATGGTGTTTTAAAAAGAATTCTGAGTCTTTTTGGCACTTTGAAGTGGGTGTTTCAGCAAGGGGTGGGGGACTGCTCTATGTAAAGTGACACTTCTTCCAGGGTGAGTATTCCTACAGCCCTTCACAGATGGAAGCCCTGCACATTTCTATAGAGTTGTTATATATTCTGAATTTGTCATTTGACTCATTGACCTAGGCTCATTATGACAAAGTATCATCTCGACCAAAGAAAATATTTTGTTACAATATCTCTGAAAAGAGTTCAAGCATTGACGCAAAACTTGAAATAGAGTGTTTTATGTTATGCAGGTTGAAAATGATATGATTGGCCGGGCGTGGTGGCTCATGCCTGTAATCCTAGCACTCTGGGAGGCCAAGGCAGGTGGATTGCTCAAGGTTAGGAGTTTGAAACTAGCCTGAGCAAGAGCAAGACCCCATCTCTACTAAAAATAGAAAGAAATTAATTGGCCAACTAAAAAAAATATATAGAAAAAAAATTAGCAGTCCCAGCTACTCGGGAGGCTGAGACAGGAGGATTGTTTGAGCCCAGGAGTTTGAGGTTGCTGTGAGCTAGGCTGACATCATGGGTCTCTAGCCCAGGCAACAGAGTGAGACTCTGTCTCAAAAAAAAAAAAAAAGAAAGAAAATGATATGATTTTCCTGGAGGGAAAATGTGTTTAAACAGGATCTTGTTAATTTGTTTTTCTGGATAGACAAAGTCTTTCTCAAAATTTTGAGGAAGATGTATATTCAACTTTTATGCAACTGCGAAACTGTTATCCAAACTGGTTCAGCTATCTTACATACACACCAGCAGTATATGAGAATTCAAATTGCTCCACACCCTCACCGACACTTGGTATGGTAGTATGATAGCTTGGTATGGTAGCTACTCTGTTAGGTCTGTAGTGGTATCTTATGATGATTTAATTTGCAATTCCTAATGACTAATGATGTGACGCACTTTCCATGTGCTTATTTGCCATGTGTATTATCTTCAGGTCCAGTCATTCCACTCCTTTTATTTCCAAAAGAAATAAAAGCATATGTCCATATAAAGACACAGATCTTTCCATGGACTGAATTGGGTCTCCTCAAAATTCTTGTGTTGAAGCTCTAATCCAGTGAGATTGGTTCAGAGACAGTGTCTATTTGGAGGCAATTAAGGTAAATGAGATTATAAGGGTTCTCATTCCATAGATTAGTGTCCTAAGAGTAGACCCCAGAGAATGCTGAGGCACGCTCATCTCCCCAGCCCCGACTTGTCTTCCTTCTTCTCTCCCTTCCTTTCTCCCTTTCCTCTTCTCTTTAAAAGCACACAACGAGTCATGTGAGCACACAGCAAGATGCAGGGTGCCTTCAAACCAGGAAGAGCACAGAAAACCACCATGCTGGAACAGAGATGGACTTGCAGCATCCAGAGCTGGGAGGAAATGTCTGTTGTTTAAACCACCCTGTCTACAGCATTTTGTTATGGCATCCTGAGCTGACAAATCACCCAAATGAAGGGAAAAAGAAATGATTGTATATACATACATACAATGGAATACTATTGAGCTATAAAAATACACGAACTACTTACATTCACAACATGGATAAATCTCAAATAATTGTTCTGAGTGAAACAACAGACAAAAAAGAGAGTAACTATATAATTCCAGTTATATAAACTCCAGAAAATGTAGTTAACTGAGAGTGACAGAAAGCAGATCTCTAGTTGCCTGGCAAGGAATGGGAGGGAGGGATTACAAAGGTACAGGAGGGGAACTTTAGCAGGTGATGGGTGATGGATGTGTGTACTAGCTTGACTGTGGTGATGGTTTCATGGGGTACATATATATCAAAATATATCAAATTGTATACTTTATATTTATTTATTTATTTTTGAGACAGAGTCTCGCTTTGTTGCCAGGCAGAGTGAGTGCTGTGCATCAGCCTAGCTCACAGCAACCTCAAACTCCTGGGCTCAAGGATCTCCTGCCTCAGCCTCCCGAATAGCTGGGACTATAGGCATGTGCCACCATGCTTGGCTAATTTTTTTCTCTATATATTATTTGGCCAATTAATTTCTTTCTATTTATAGTAGAGACAGGGTCTCGCTCTTGCTCAGGCTGGTTTCCAACTCCTGACCTCGAGGGATCGGCCCCCCCCTCAAATTGTATACTTTAAATACATGCAATTTATTATATGTCAATTATGCTCAATAAAGCTGTTTTTTAAAACCTTGTAGAATCCTATTATCTCTAGGAAGCTCTAATTTTGTGTTAAATAGAATTTAAGTTTTCTTTTCTTCCGTTCCTGATAAAGAAATGGAAAAGAAAATGCCTCACTCAGAAAAGGCTGTGGTATGCACAAGACATCATGATTTTGTACATTTCCTTGTGATGAGCCTGGAACAGAATCCCTGACTCACCCCAAACCCAGCCTTTCCATTACCATTGGAAGTAAAAATACAAAAAGCAAAAATTCCCAAACCAAATCAAACAACCATAAAACAGGTGCAGTAAAACGCAGAAACAAATGATTGAACTTGGGCGTTTCAGTTTTGCAAGCTTAGATGCCTCGGTTGGATATTGTGGTAAAGAATGAAAATCTGTTATGACACCTTTCAATCACACTTGATAATTGGTATCAGGGACACTATATTACAGATAAAGCAAGGTCTCCACAGGTAGAGATGGTAAAATCTAGAATAACAAGGTGTCAGCTCATAAGTCAGGCAAAAAACTTTTGAAAATAAAACCCAAAGCTGAACACAGAATTTGATTAGAAATTCAAAACCTGCTTCAATTTCACAGAAAGCTCGGAAGGTAAAATAGGGTTTTATTTATAGCCTTAGGTAAGGTCTGTGCCAAACATGAACTTTTATATCGCCCTTGGCAGGGGGAGGGAGTGTGCCACTCCACTGTGTAGATGGGGCCACAATAGCAGGAAAGGAGGAGGCTTCTACAGGTGGCCCTTTGTGGCAAATTACTATGGCAGGAAACCCTCTCGAAGTTGCAAATTGTTCATTTCATTTCTACTGTGCTGCGGAAGCCAGGCTTTTTGTTTGGTTTAAGTGCTAAAGTCCTGGGTTTTGAGCTTGAGCTACCACCCAGTCAACAAGTGGTGGAGGAGCGAACTTAAAACCACGGTCTGATGCCAAAGCGCTTGCTCTTTCCAATGCTCGACACAGAGGAGAGTTCTCCAGGAGGCCCCCCGCCAGGCCGCCCCGCGTCCTCCCCTTGTTTCCTAACCGCCACGCTACTCTACTCGCGGGAACCGGCTGAGGGTTCGCAGCTGGAGAGCACGGGTTGCACCTGCTCCGAAACCCGGCGGGGCCCAGGCCTGGCCCGCAGCTCGTCAGCCTCAGCTGCCTGTGCTCGGACGCGGGGACCCGCCAGGGGTCACTGCAGCCTCAGAGCTATTGTGCCCGCCAGTCCTGGACGCGGCGGGCCTCGCGGAGGGCGTGGGGCAGGGATCGCCGAACGCCGGGGTCCGGGCGGAGCTGCCCCCAGTCGTCCAGGGCCGGCCTCCGGGTCTCCCTGGGAAACCGACGCGGCGAGCTGCGGGCCGCCCCTCTGCAGGGGCGCGGCGCGCGGCTTCCTGGCGCGGACCCGCAGCACCTCGCCACTTGCGCCACCTCCGCTCCGCCCTCCGCCCCAGCTGATACCCCGCCCAGAAGGGGCTCCCGTGCTACGGCCACCGGGTAGGGGGGCCCCCGCCCCGCTTCAGGGTGTTTTGCAGACGCCCGAGCCGGGCGCGGCAGCACCTGGGCTGCTCCCGCGCAGGGCGCCACCCCTCGCGCCGCCGAGAGAACTTTCCACTTTCCCCGGAGCCGGCGCGGCCTGGGCACACCCCCGCCCGCCGGCTGCGTGCCCAGCTGGGGCGCCCGCTTCTCCGCCCGCGGGCCTCCCGGCACCCGGCTTTTCTGAATGTTCTGCAGAAGCAGCACTCCGCCGCCGCGGCAGGGCATTCCCGGAGGGAAAGCTTGAACTTGGCCGTGCGCGGGCCCCCGTGATGAGCTCGAAGGTCCCCGGACGGGAGCCGCACCCCGTGACCAGCTGACCTCCCCGCTGGCCTCGGTAAGGAGCCCGTTGTCCTTTCCAGCCCGCTCCCGGCTTCTCAGTGCCCGTGGGTCGGAGTGTGGGGGCGCCGGGCTGAGTGACGCCCTTCGCTTCTGCCCCTGCGCCCCTGACAAAAGAAAAGCCGGGCGCCCCGCATCCCGCTGGCCGCGGCGGGGGCGGCGGGGCGGGGTCGCGGCGGGGAGGGCGCCCGCGGGGGACTCGGCAGGCCGCGGGGAGGCGGGTGCGTCGCGGCCGCGCTCGGATCGGTGCGGGCGCAGGGAGCTTCCAGGCGCTTCCGAGTCCAGGGAGGGGCTCGAATTCTCGTCCCTCCCCTGTCTCGTGTCTTGCCCCCATTGCCAGGCGACTTTTGTCGTCCCCAGGACTGCCGGAGGGGCCGCGGCGCCCCCGCCTTCGGAGGAGCCGGAGCCGCAGGATGCGCGGGGACGCGCCGCCGCCCTCCGCGCCCAGTTCCGCCGGCGTTTCGCTCGCGGCTCCCGGGCGCTGACTCCCGGCGCGGACTCCCGGGCTTCTCCGCGCTTCCAGCTCCCCGCGGCGCCGGGCGCCTCGGCCTCCCCGCCCCGGCCCGCGGCGGCGGCTGCTCCTCCGGGCCTGGCCGCGGCGCGGACAATAAGTGGATGCGTCGCGCGTGAGCGGCAGGGGCGGCGGGCGCAGGTCTCGCCTGGCCGGAGACGGGCGCCGCCGACATGGGCTGCTTCTGCGCCGTTCCGGAGGAATTCTACTGCGAAGTTTTGCTCCTGGATGAATCCAAGTTAACCCTCACCAGCCAGCAGCAGGGCATCAAGGTAGGTGCGGCCGGGAGCGCGCGCTGGGGGTCGGCGGCCGGGGGGCTGGGGGTCCCCCGCTTTGTCTGGGGGCTGTCACCGCTCAGGCCCGGCGGCTGCGCCTCTGCGCGGTGGCAAGGAGCGGCGGCCGCCCCCGGCGCTCGGAGGGCGGGTGGCCGTGTTAGGGTGGGTGGGTTAACTTTGAGCTTCCCCAGGAAGGAAAGTGAGTTTGACATCCCGGAGGCTCGCACGCACCAACTCCCCGCTGCAATCCACCGTCCTGCGACCCAAACGCGTCCCCAAACCGGTCCCCTCCAAAAGTGTCTGGGCCCCCTGAAGCTCCCAGAGAGGCGCAGCATTGGTTAGACCGGCTGCACCCCACCACGGCGTGCAAGTTCGGTTTCCCGCAGCTTCGTCGAAGGCTCATTTCTTGACAGTGTCACGAGAGACCGAGACTAGTTCACTCGTTGGCATACATTAATGGGTCATTGTGGTTGCGTTGCCTGGGTTTGTGGTCGGGTAATGCTGCGTTTAGACTGAAAATACTTCCCCTTTCCTCAGGTGAACTGGGTTTATCCGCACATTTAAGCACACGTCTCTCAGAGCAACTCAGTAATAACTTTGCTCCTGTTTGTAGGTCATTAAAATGCAATTACTACCTTAACCCAGAGAACCCAAACAAAAGGGCCGCGGAGCTTGCAGGATCCACTTCCTTAATTTTGATGAGTGCGTACTTAATGTTTATAGTTGACAACCGGACTGACGCGCCTGCGCGCTTGTTTTGCTCTGGCAACAATGTAACTACCTAGGGGAGATGTGAATCCGGAGCGTTTTGTTGTTTTATTTCCCTTTCTCCCTCACTTTGAAATCACTAAGGCATTTTCGATAACACAGCAGCTGAGTCTGGTGAACGGAAACCGCCCCCTTTATAAAAGAGCTGGCCCTATGAGAAATCATGTGTTGAGGCTGCCAAAAATCCTCTCCTAGACTTGTCATCTCAGAAGCTAATTCTAATGGGCTAGGCCGTGAGCATTTCCTTTGTGAATCAGTTTTTACATGGCTTTATGCACACTGGAGCAACTGTTCCTGGGCTAAAAGTTTCAGCGTTGATATTGCGGTTCTTGGTGTACAGAATTCTAATTTCATAGGCCTAGTTATTTTGCAGGAGAAAGGGTAAAAAAAAAAAGCTATAAGATTGTTAACCCTTTCCTTTAGGAAATTGTTTTCACTATTGTTTCCCCAGTAATTAGCAAAATTTAATCAGATTCTCAGGTGGTATTTCAAGTACAATAAAACAGACAGTTTTGGGGGATTTTTAACTTTTAGTTATGTTCCAAAATATCCCTCCCCCCTACCCACCCACTGAAATCGGGAAAAGAATTTACTGGATAATGTAACAGTCTTTGGTGTAGTTTGTGAATAAAATAGGCAAAAATCACAAAACATCCTAAATTATTGATAATATGTAGATTCTTTGTAGTGTGAGGGTAAAAACAATTAGGAAAAGATAACTAATGATCCGATGCTAAGACAACAAAGAAATCTTTTTGAAGTGCAAAGTCTAAATTATCTAGAGTCAAAAGTCATCTGGAGTGTGAGTTTCCTATTTAATCATGAAAGCCAGGGCTCTGTCAGCTGTGGAGCATGTATATTATTCTGTCAAGAGAGCAGCCAAGACTTGGGATCAAATAGAATAATTTTGTCAAAGAAACATGAATCAAAATCTTGATCCATAATTACTTTTTATAACCCAATGGGTGCTTATCTTGTTTTACAAATAGGTTGAAAATTGGTGAGTGATTCAAAGGCAAAAGCAACCTTATACAACACTGTTATTTTGGATGCAGGCCATATAACTAAACAATAATTTAAGCAGGCTTTTGTTAGAAGTAATCATTTCACAACAGCTTGGCCTCTTATGGTGTCACAGAAGCTTGCCACAATTATTTTGATGGCCATGTGTGTAACACAGATGTTGTCTGAAGTTAACCACGTTATCTGCAACTACCATGCCATCATAAAAATGTATGTCTTAAGCACCTACCTACTTGTGGTATGTACTGAGTTAAACATTTTCATACATGTTATCATTTGTAAATATACAAAAGCATCTTGCATGTAGATGATACTTAAATACCGAACATGTATATGTCATTGTTCTGTACATACTTGACATTTTCTTTAACTTTTCCCTAACTTTCTTATATTATGGTACACATGTACAATTAATGTATATTGCATTCATTAGGTGAAATTAACTCCTAACTCCTCTTTTAGTTCGCAAATGAAAAAGTAAACAATTACTTCAAAGTTAATAGTCAATAGCTACTATTATGGTGTGTTCCCTGGGATAGTACACTTGATAATTTTGATTATCACTAATTAAAGTCAAATGAAGCAGGCAACATCAATTAGCCCATTTTCCCCTGAATTATGCTAGGAAAAAAAATCTCTCTTTTTTGAATTTTCATAAGTATTTCCTAATATTTATTTTGTGATGACCTTTTTCCTATTTTGAATGAGTGGAAGACGGCTAATTTTGTGTTGAAATTATTCAAATATTTCATCTTTTAATAGAAGGAATTTTACTGATTTCTAAATGGTTACTTAAGAATTTGCTTGTATTAATATTAATGTTAAAATAATACATTGAGTTAGAAACAGATTAATGATAGTAAATGAAAACAGAAGTGTGAGTGAAGCCTGGTAAAACATTTTGTTTGTGTCATTTTGAAAAACACTCTTTGGATTTAAGAGCCAAATTACAAAATGAAAAGTTATGAAGCAATTTTCTGCAATTTAGATTAAAGTTTTCTTATTGATTTTAGAAAAAAATTGATGTCACCATTTAAAGCATTTCAGCCTGAGGATAGTAGTTATACATGTTTTAAGATGAGTAGCATTTAAATGGAAAATGCTTTTCAAAAAAAATGCAGAAAAATAACACAGTATCTTTGTATCCATATTAATGTAGGTATTTGCCTATTTAACTTGCTTTAGAGGTGACCTCACCTTGGCAAACAGGAAGTCTTTTCCACACCGTTCACAGTTTGAGCCCTAATCAAGATTAAAAACCCAGGTTTATGTAAGCTGAAAGCTATTGGTTGTGTTTTGAGCCCCACAATAGCTTTTGGCTGTTTGTTCTCTGCTGCTATCTCTGTTGTTTATTCAAGTAAGGATTTCTGCTATGATTGGTCTTAGTTTTTTGGTAATGTTTGTTCTGGGAAACTTTTGTCCTATTGTAGTTCTCTGTGTTGGGGGAGGTAGAGATCTTTCCTTTTGTTCTCTTAGAAAACAAAACTTGAATGTGGCTCAGACTCCTTTTATAGGTTGTCATTTGGTTAGCAAAAGATTTTCAGGGAAAAAAAAATAGCAAGGTTAGTCCTTAAAATTGCTGCTATAAATATGGAATAGATTAGTATTTTCAGCAAGACTTTAGTCCTTTGAGTAGTCATGTGATGAATACTGTGGTGCTCATTTTTCTTTAGATGTGTTGACTAAATTAATGAAACTAATGTGACGGTGAGATAAACTCCATTTTTACTTTTTAAATGGTTTATTTTAAGGATAGACCATACAGTTCACCCAAAGTGTACAGTTTATCCATCAACTGTTAAATAATGTTACCTCTCAGTCATCCTGAGGTTCCTGAGGGAATATTGTGAGTTTTGATGCTTTGATCAGAAACTTCCTAATAAACTAGAAAAACAATTATAAATTAGGGGCTTTAAAGTATATGTATTCATTTACCCAAAATTGTAATTTTCATTCCATTTGGACTGGTAAAGAAAACATCTCAGGAGATTGGGAAAAAAGTGAAAAGCAATAGTTCTTCAGAAATTAAGTATATGTGTGAATACCTATATCCTTTGGTATCAGCCACGTAGGGTACAAAGTCAAGGCCCTTATAAATATCAGTTGAAGCAAGTAATCGTACTTTACATAACACAATTTCTGTTAATGTAAGACTGGCTATGGGTCTTGATCAATTAGTAAATTTGATGTTACTGGAATAGAAAGTGCTCCTCTTCCACACTACATCCAGGTTTCCAAAATTCAAATGTGATATCCAAATTGTGGCTATATAAGGTTAACTAGCATATACATTAGTATATAATTGGTATATAAATACTCCCTCAATTTTGCAAGGAGTTTTTTTTCTTGAAAAAAATTAAGTATACTTTTTATCATCCATGGCTTGAATATGACTTAGAAACTATTTAAGGGGGAAAGCACTGTTAGCTCCAATGGCTTTATGGCTGTCCTTCTCTAGAGCTTAACAATATTATTGGTTGATGGTGAACCATGCTTTTTGTAGCCCAGTTACCATGTTCTTGCATTCTGTAATGGTTAAGCTTGAACTGAAGTTGCCCTCATGCAGAGCTTTTGTTGCTTTTGAGCATGGGTGAAGATAAGGTTAAATCTATTGTTGGGACAGAAGTCCGGACTCAACTTTGATTAGTCATGTGGACAGTGGTTTGTTATTTTTATTTAGACACTTACAAGATGGAAAACTCATCTTTTGTTCGGTGGTTTGTGTCAGGTTTTATCCCAGACAGTAGGGCTGAACAATTCCTTCTTGTAGGAGTCTGTCCTGTCCATTGTAGGATACTTAGCAGCATTCCTAGTGTCCAGATGCCAGTAGCACCTCTTCCCTAGTAGTGACAACTGAAAATGTCCCCAAATGTTGCCAGATGTTCCCTAATGGGCAAAATCACCCTCAGTTGAGAACCACTACCATAGAGGGTAGCAGCTTTCTTTATTCTTATGTTTTTGGTGCTCAGCCTTCCACATTGAAAGCAGGACTACTTTTGGATGCTTTCTATTTTTTCCATTTTTTTCACCTCTTTTGGAATGGCGAGTTGTTTACCTTATATTCAGTGTAAACAATATGATATCTATGTCTCTAACTTCATATTCTTATACTCAGAGCAATATTTGAAGTGATCAAAGCATGGGCCCTGGCGTCAGACCACCTGGGTTTAAATTTTGGCATCATTGATGACTGACTTACTAGCTGA